CTTGCACTGATCCATATCATCGTCCTGATCCTTCCTCTTCTCCTCGCTGTCCCCCCTCCTCCTCGTGCAACCGTCGCCTCTCGCGCTCCTCCATCCATCCCTTCCATCCCCTCAGTGCGCCTCCTCCTCCTCCTCTTCCTCCCCGTCGTCCCCGTTCCGTCCTCTCTATCCTCATCCTCCTTATCCATTTTCTCTTTCTTCTGGTCGGGGCGACCTCCTCAGAGAGGGTTTCCCAGCCTCCTCCCCGTCCTCCTTCCCGTTCATCCTCTCCTCCCACCAGGGATCATGGAGGGGGGCGAAGGGGGGGGAAGAGAACGAGGAAAAAAAAGGGAGGAGGAAGCAGGAGGAAGACGATGTGGGGGTTGGGGAGGCGGGGAGGACGAGGTAAAGGCGCTGCAGAACAACGCAATGCAGCAGTGCAAAACAATCCAAGGACCCTGACGAGCCCGAGAAACCCCAGGAACCCAAAGAACCCAGGGATGGGGAGCCGAAGGAGAAATCCCGGGGAACCTGGGGTGGCGGTCGAAAGTGCCATCAGGTCTCTGCCTCAAAGGAAGGGAGGAAGGAAGAAAGCAAGAAGGATGAGGAGAGAGGAAGCGAGAAGCGGGGATACGGGCGGAAGGATGGATGAGCGACGACTCAAGCAGGGGTGGGCGGAGGGAGCATGAATGGAAAAAGGGAAATGAGGCAGGCTGGGGCGGAGAACTCGATTTTTCAGTTCGCGGTTCCTCTCGTGGGCCCATGGGCCGTCCCGGGCGTCTCTTGGGCCGTCTCGGCGTCCCCTCTGGGCCGTCCTGGGGCTATCCAGGGGGTTTCTTGGGCCGTCTTGGGACGGTCTTCCAAGCCTCTTGGGCCGTCATGGAGCGTCGGAAAGCCGAATAAACGATGAAACAGAAAACCCAAACAAAAAACAATGAAAATCAACAATGTTTGGCCTCCCTCCTCCCTCCTCCCTCCTCCTCCTCCTCCTCCTCCTCCTCCTCCTCCTCCTCCTCCTCCTCCTCCTCCTCCTCCCCCTCAGGTGAGTCCAGGGGGGCGCCGTCCAGATCGCTATGTACGCCCGGCCGCCAGCCCAAATATTTCGGGGGCAAGGTTAATGATCCCACTGGTGTGCTCGCCCCACGAGCCACTTTGTGCTCCGACACAATGAGGATGATAATGACGATGACAACGACCAAAGATAATTCAAAACGGCTCTAGAGCCACCGAGTATGCCCAGGCTGCCTGGACGTGGCCTCCAAGAGGCTCCAGAACATTTCGCCCGAATCGCCCAATCTGGTTCAAAGGGCCCCGAAGATAGTTCCAAGGAGCCTTGAAGGTGCGCCCAACAATTCACCAAATATATTCCAAAACCGGCCCCAGATTGTCGAACATGCTTCCGAAAGGCCGCATCATTGCGCCAAAGCTGCTCCCAAATGGTCGGTACGTGGGTCAGCCTCGGGGGCTGGCGGTACAGGGCGCAACCCTCCGGATATCGAGCCCAACGGTGAGCGCGCGCAAAAGATGTGCAAACAAAATGCGCCAACGTTTTTTTTTCCGTCAGCGCTCTCGGCAAGTCGGTCCAGGGCAGCCGCAGCGAACAAATCTGAAGTCGGGAGAAACGACGCGCCATGCGTTTCGCCATGGTCGCGTTGCAGTAGCCAACTTCGCCGAATCACGCAAAGCAAGGGCTTCAGTTAGATAGATTACAAATGCGCCCCTCGGTACAAGCCACGTGCGAATGGCATAGTGTTGCCACGACGCGCGCTTTCCTGTATACTTTGGCGCGCGCCGCCTGCCGACCAAGAAGCAGAAGCCCGTCGGCCCTGAGACGTTGAAGAGCGTGCGCGCGAACAGGTGCATGAGACGACTGTTCAGGACAGCTGCTTTAGCGCGGAAGCTCTGAAATCCTGTGCCCGCATGCGTGCGTTAGCGTCGCAGCAGGGTGGTTTCGGTGTCGAAAACACAGAAGTGGCGCACTAACGCTTCTGCAGGACTGTCCGGAAGAATGCTGGTAGCTACTGGGCAGGAGTAGACAGCCAGCCTTGTAGTGGCAGCAGCAGGCTTCATCATTTCTTCTACAGTGCGCGATGTGATGCTTAACTACCAGACTGGGCATAATGCGTGGGAACGCCGATCAAGAAACACTGCCACTGTCGAGAGGCGGCCCGCGAGGCTTCGAAGGCGCAGATCGCCAAAATCTGTTAAACATCCTGAAGTCGTGCGTAGTGACGGGAAGCGTGCAAGGAATCACACAGCAACGCTGTTGCAGACGCAGTCTCGAATCCGTGGACGTGCGCGATCGGCAGCAATGCTATCCAATGACCTCCTGCAGAAGGTGTGCGAATCAGGAAAGCGGCAGTAGTACATACGCCTTCTACCGTGCACTGCGGAGCGTACGGATGGCCCAAGCGTTCTTGAATGTCTTCTGCCGTTAGAGGAAAACTCGCAACGTTCTGGCGGGTGAAATTGCATGTAAGAGTTGCGATATCACAGTTGCTTCCGCAGGGTTCGATGAGGTTCACATGAGCGTCCCCGAGGCGTGCTGTGAGAGCTGCGTGTTCGAACTGTGCTTTGGCAAGCGTGGACTGCGGCTGCGATCGAATTCTGCTCACAGGAACCATGCAGTGATTGAATGCGTGGAGGCCGCAAGTTGCGCCAACTTGGACTCGCCTCGAAACAGCAGCGCTGGAGGGTGAGTTGAACCAAGAAAGTGCAGTTTGGACTGGCGGCAGATGTTGGGGGGAGGGCATGACAGCGTGTTGCGGACTGTTCCAACGCGTGTCATTAAATTCATACTGCGGGCCATGGAGTTCCCGGGCATCCGCGGGCAAATGGATCCATCTCGGGACCTCCTGGGCTCCTAAGGTCACCTAAGAGCCTTCTTGGGCCATCTCGGGCGCGCGCGGGCCATTTTGCGCTCTCTTGGGGCCCTCTTGGGCCGTCTTGGGCTCCTCGAGAAGCTCTTGGGGAGGCAGGTTCGGGGTCGTGGCGACCTGGTTTCCTCGTGCTGGGTACGTTCTGAACCTCTCTTGGATGCCTCCTGGCCGTTTTGTGTAGCGCTGTCGGGGCGCTCTTGGGCGGGTTTGGGCGTGAGGGAGAGATGCAGAAGGTGCCTCGGGGCGGTCGTCGGAGCCGCCTGCGCTGTGTTGGATCGCAGGAAGCTCTAGAAGGGGGCAACATGGAAACCCTTCAGCAACCGAGCAAAAATCAAAGAAGTTGGCCCCGCGTGGCCCTTTGGGGCGCCATCAGGGAGCGTGAAATTCATGACAGAACATATGCTTTGCAGCACTTTTGTATAAAACGTATACGTTTTGGGAGCATCTTGAAGCCAATTTTGGGTGCCTCTTGGGGAGCGTCTTGGATGCATCTTCGAAGCCTCTCGGAAGTGTATTGCAGGCAGTTTTTGGGCCTCTTTGGGGCCTCCTGGGAACCTCTTAGGGATGTCTTGGGGGCCTCTTGGGGGCCTCTTGGGACGTCTTGGGGCCTTTGGGTGCCTCCTGGGGCCGAAGGCTCGAAATTTGAACTTGATTTTCCTGCTCTGGGACCCATCTTGGGCTCGTTCTGGGGCTCTCTGGGGCCGTCCTGGAGGCCTCTTCGGCCGTCTTGGGCCCTTCTTGGGCTGTCTTGGAGCCCTCTCGGGTGTCTCCTGAGCCGTTTTGGGAGCCTCTTGGGCCATCGTGGACGCTGTGAAAACCCAAGAGGCGAATATGCTAAAAATCTACGTCCCCAAGGGAATGGGACGATTTTTGCTTCTTGGGGCACTCTTGGGGGGCACTCTTGGGGGGCCTCTTGGGGCGTCTTGGGAGCCTTTTGGGCCGTCTTGAATCCACCTTGGGCCGTCCGGAAGGCATATTGGCCTGTCCATGGAGCGTTCCAGGGGGTGAGACCAGCCCGTAACGGGTACAAAACAGGTCCCCGGCTCTGGGGGCTAAATGGGGTTACCCAGGGGGTGGCCCCATTTGTCATTCTGTCCCGGGGGGCCGGGGGCCCCAACACTCCGACATTATATATATATATATATATATATATATATATATATATATAAACTTCCGCCTCGCCTTCTTCTACTCTCCTACTCGCCTCGCCTCTTCCGCTCCGTCTTCTTCCTGCACTTGGTCCCCGTGCTCGCCGTGGCTACGTTGTCGTCACCTTCGGCACGCTCTACTGCTCGCTCGCCTGGCCGGCACCTCGGCTCGCGCGTCGCTACCTTCACTGCTTTTCCCTTTGCTACCAACGCGGCCCGCCGTAGCACGCTCGGCGTTCGACCAACGCGGCCCGCCGTAGCACGCTCGGCTTACCAAAAGTATTCCTGAAAACCATATTTGGGACATTTCTCTGCAGTTGAATATTTTTGCAAACGGGCCTCCTGCCTGGGCCAGCCGACGACATGAGGGTGGTGGTGGGAGTACTTTAGGGAGAAGAGATACACGGGCTGGAGGCTCAGCAGATCAGTATCGTCGCCGCTCAACCGCACCTGTCGACGGCTCAATGTGTTGAAAATATGCCCAACTCGGCGCAAACATCCTGCACATTGCAGCACATGTTTCACGGGAGTGCTGCAAGCCTAGATCTTGAAGTCCGCTCAGCGCAGAAGGAGGAGGAGGAGGATGAGGAGCAGGAGGCGAAGGAGAGGTGAGGACGGCGACCAGTGTGCTCTACTCAAACCGAGGACCCAACCACAACGAGTGCTGGGAAACAAATAGATCGTCGCAAGTCTGGGGTGGCGGCCTGCGTGCTTTGGCTTGGGCCCCGCGCGCCCCCCGAAAGGCGCGCACCAGCTGATAAGCAATGAAGGATACCACTAACACGTTGGAAGGGGACCTACATGAGAAGGGCCACACGATTAGGGTTGGGTTTTTCTGCAGATTACTCCGAATGCGAAGACGGCACGTCTTCATCGTGATATTAGCGTTAGTCCTCATCGTGTGATGAGGGTTAGGTGTTCTTCTGTTCTCGATGACCAGAGGCCACTTTGGCGACGGGCCGCTTTGGCGTGTGCCGCCGATCGCCCCCGCGGCCTTCCCAGCCAGCGCCCCCGGGCGAGAAGCTCCAGCCCGCGTCGGCCTCCGCGCGCGGCCGCGAGAGCGGGCGGCGGGAGCGCCCGTCGCCGCCCCGCGTCCACCACCAGGCGGCAGCTTCGTTGGGCTCGCCCCGGGCGCCGGGACGCCACCAGGCCGCTGCTGCAGCCACAAGCCCAAGGGGATCCCCGAGGGGGTGACGGGCCCCCGGGAGGCACCCGGGAGGCTTCTCTGACGGCCCCGCGGGGCCCGGGCAGGGCCCCAGCAGGTGGAGAAAACGCCGAGAGACCTCCCCTGAAATCCGACGCCGCACTCAGAACTGGAACCCTCGACCCTTTCTGCGGCATTTCTCGAGCTGGATCGGTCCGCGCAAGCGTCCCAAGGCCCAAAACCAAACGAACACGCCCGGCGTGGAAACACTGCGACGCCCAGACCTCAGGGTCATGATATGTCATTCCGGCTAGAGCCACGCGCGCACTTCGCGCGCTGAGATTCTAGCCGCACCCAAAGAAATCGCATCTCAGGTATGCAAAAGGAATTCTGAAGCTCCTTCAGGGGTGGTAGCGGCAATTCGGATCCTGGAACGCTCCTCGCGCTTCTCAGGATCCAGACGGGGACCGGAGGAGAAAGAGCTGGACTAAGAAGAGCGGTGCCCGAGTCTGGCTCCGAAACGAAGGCAAAAGAACACATCTGGGTGGCACCAGCAGGGACTCAATTTCGATGACTTTGCCTTTTCAGGGGCATTATTGACAAACTTCTGGGCCACCTCCAGCCGTCTTTGGGCCGTCTTGGAATCTGGACGCCTGCTGAAGATGCGGTCTTCGGGGCATCCTGGGCCATCTTGGAGGTCTTTTGGAGCCAATTTAGGGTCTCTTGGGCTGTTGCAGCCCTCTTGGGGGCGTACGTAGTTACTGTTGAGCACACCTTGGGCCGTTTTGGGGTCCTCTTGGATCCCTTGGGCTGCCTTGAGTTCCTTCGGGTGCCCTTTTCGGCCATCTCGAATCCCTGCATGAGCCCTCCTGGGACCCTCCAGAGCCGTCGTGGGCCCGTCTTCGGCCCACTTGGTGCTCTTCTGTGCCGTCTAGGGGCGAGCTCGGAGGTCGTAGGGGCCGCGTTGGCGGCACGGCTCCTGGAGCCCCTTCGAGTTCCTCCTCTTGGACCCCTTCTAGGGGCGCTCTTGGGGGCTTCTTGGGCAATACTGGGGGTACCTTCGGCCGTCTTGGGGCCCTGTTGGGCAGTCTTGATGCCCTCTTGTAGCCCTGTTTGTCCATTCTCTGGAGATCTTGGCATGCTCTTGCGCCGCCTAAGCCATGTGGAAATCCAGACACGCGAGCCTGCCGACATCCTCAAAAACCGTAAAGAACACCTGTGATGTTTGCCTCTTAAGGCCATCTTGGGGGTCCTTTTGGGAGGCCCTTGGGGCGTCTTGTAATCATTTTGGGCGGTCCTGAGCCTATCTTCGGAAGTCGTGGGGCATTACTGAACCGTTTTGGGGCTGTCTACCCGGCCGATCTGCCCGTCTGGTTCTGCCACCTGGAAGTTTTCTGCTCCTAGCCCCCCTCCTGCTTCTCTCTCTCTCTCTATCGTGCTCCATCCTTCTCCCTTCCCCTTGTCCCTTCCTTCCATCCGTCCTCTCTTGCCCTGCTTTAGCGGTTGCACGAACATGCACGTTGTAGGTAAGGAAGATATTTACCCCCCAGGGGGTACGACTTAAGACGAAGAGGGCGGGTATCGAGGGTTTGGGATATACGTGTTGAGTGATCCGCGAGCTGATAAGAGCGAGCAGTCTTAAGCTGATTGTTGTTGTTGCTGCTCCTTCTATTGCTGCTGTTGCTGCTGCTGTTGTTGCTGATGTTGAACTCTCACTACTGAACAATAAACAATGTTGATCCACAACCCTCTGGTAACATATTTGTTTGTCAAGTGAGGTGCCCCTCCTGGAGCCCGCTGTGTTTGTACTGGGAAACAACTTCCTCCTGAAACTGTGCCCCTGGCCGCCGGTTAGCAGCAACATCAACAACAGTTCCCGCCGATATCTCTTCACAATTTACCAAGGAATCGCGCTCTCGCTAAGGACTTCCGCGCAATGTATCCAAGAGTCGCGCTCTCGCCTGTGACTTCCTCGCAGTTATTCAGGCGCCACGCCCTCGCCATTCAAAACTCGCGCTCTCGCCTGGGACCTCCTCATAATTTACTTCGGAATCGCGCCGCCCGAGACTTTCTGGCGAATTATGCAGGACTCACGCACTCGCGTAACACACTTGTTTTTTCAATTGAATTGCCCCTCCCGGACCTCGCTGTTTTTACCAACAAAATATTCCTGCTCAAACTGGCAACGATGGAAATCACCGCCTCCGCAAATTCACATAAAAAATCCCGGACGGGCGGAATTCCTAATTTGTGGGGCAGCGTTTCCCACTTGCGCGCATGGCCCATTCGGCACTGTGCGCAGCTCGGGCAATTACGTACGCCAGTACTTCAAAACTTACCCTGGCAAAGAAAGCACCCGGATAGCAGCAAGAAGTGGCATGAGAAACCTGTGGGACCTGCTGGAGGACATGTGGGACCATCGAGGCCTGCTAGACCAGTTGGAGCTGTGAAACCTGTGGGACCTGTGGGACATGCGGGACCTGCGGGACCTGTGGGACCTGCGGGACCTGCGGGACTTACGAGACCCGCAAACCCTCTGGGGCTTGTAGGACCTCTAGGACTTGTCGGACCTCCAGGACAAACAAGCCCTGTTGGAGCTGTGGGACCTGTGGGACCTCGACTTGTGGGACCTGCGGGAATAAAGAGACCTGCGAGACCTGTGGGATTTGTTGTGGGAAATGCCGAACCTGTGTGCCCTGTGGGACATGAGAAACCTGTGAGACCTGTGGGGCCTGTGGGGCCTGTGGGACCTGTGGGACCTGTGCGACCTGCAAGACTTGCGAGACCCGTGGGGCTTGGAGGACTGGTGGGACCCGTCGGACCTGTGGGACCCGTGGGACCTGTGGGACCCGCTGGGCCTGTGGGAAATGTAAAACCTTGGGGGCGTGTAGGACATGTGTGTTCTGTGGGATCAGTGGGGCCGGTGGGACTTGCGGGGCCTGCGAGACCTCTTGGAACTGTGGGAACTGTGGGGCATCTGGGTCCCGTGAAACCTGAGGGGTCTGTGGGACCGCAGGATCAACAAGACCTGCGAGACCTGCGGGGCCTGTGGGACCTGTGGGAGCGGTGGGACATGTGGAACCTGTGGGACCTCTAGGATTCATGGGACGTGTGAGAAGTATGGGATTTGTTGGACCAATGTGACGTGTGGGGCCTGCGAGACCTGCCAGATTTGCGAGGCCTGCGGCGCCTGCAAGATTTGTTGGACCTGCGGGACCTGTGGGATATGTGGGATATGCGGGACATGCGGGACTTGTGAGACTTGCGACAGCTGTGGGACTTGGGGGACTTGTGGGACCCGACCGCCGACGACCAAAATAAGGCCCCAAATTGTGGGACCGCCGGACACCCAAATAAGGACCTTACTTGGGACCCCGGAAACTCCTTATCAAAAGGCTCCCCAGACACCCCCAAAACTTCGGAGAGGTTCTTGGGGGGCCTCGTGTAGCTTCTTGGGCACTTTTGGGAACTTCGGATCCCGACCATCCCGAATGTCTATTCCGTCGGGGGGGTCGTCGTCCAGGGTCGGCGGCACCGGCCGTAAGGCCTTAGCAACAGCAGGAGAAGGAGGAGGGAAGCGCTGTGCCGTCACAGATCCCTATAGGTATGCGCGCTCTGCCGTAGCAGACTCCCATAGGTATCTGCTATCCGAGCTGTCTTTAACTATGCCCACACATTCCCAGGCGGCGCCGGCGAAAAACATGACGTTGCGGGCCACCTGCCCCCTGGTAACGCCCGTTATCGCCTGGGCAAGAAAAAAAAACCATGGCGGAAGGACAAAATCATACGTTCCCCATTTGTTTTTGAAGCTGTTTGGCTTGTCGGAGGTGTCATGGAGAGTCTCCTGGGGCCCTCTGGGGCTGTCTTGGGCGGCACTTGAGGCATCTGGAGCCTCTCTAGAACAGTCCGAGACCCCTGGAGGCCGTCGTGGGGGAGGTTCGAGGCCGCCCGGGCCACACACTTGCGGTCGAGGCCGCGACCCCAAGGCTCCTGGGCACGGCCCCCAGCCAGCTTTCTGTACATAACCGATACCGATCTTCCCCGGACCTCTCCAAAGATGCGTTCAGGCCACGACCTCGAAGCGAATCCAGCCGTGGCGCCAGGGGAAGGGCAGTGGCATCGGTATCTGGTATCGGCATCTGATCCTCTGACCTTCAGAGCCCCCCTGGCTCGTGGCGAGGCTTGGTCGGGCCCGTCCTGAGCGCGGGGACGGTAGTCGCGCCAAAGCTGGTCGACCACGGCGGAGTCCTTCTGCGCCCCCGCATCGCCAACAACCTCCTCCGCGCTGGCGCCCGCCGCGATGGGCGCCTCCGCCACCTCGTGGGGGAACCACGATATGGCGACATCGCTTCTGCTCGGACCTGCGGACCTGTCCAGGGGTGTGCTTGGCCAGGATACTGGGGCGCACCCAGCTGCGGCGACGAGGCCCCGCTACTCAGAGGAGGCCCGACAAAGAGGCGAAACCGAGGGAGGGGCATCGGCATCGATACGACTTGATCTTCTCTGAGCCTCGGCGCCAGCCACGCGCTTCGGCACCCACTTCGCGCGCGCCCGGGGCGCGGCCGATCGGGCGGTGGGCCTCGAGGTTGGCTGGGGCAAAGAAGGCCGCCACCACCACCACCATCTCACCATCGCGCCCAGGGGAGGCTCATCATGGATTTGATTGCTGGAGGCGGCCGGCTGATGGTGGTGGTGCCGCATCTCCTTCCTGCGACTCGACGACAGCCACGGAGGCGACCAGGACGGCGGCAACGACCACCATTACGACCACGACGATGACGGCGACGACGGCGTCGACAACGACGGCGACCACCATGACCACCACAATGGCGCCCACCACCACCACCACCACGGCAACGACGACCACCCCCACAACAACCATCACCACGACCACGACGACCGCCATCACCACCATGACCACCGCAACGCCAAAAGCGACAGCGACCACCATGACGGCGGCATCGACGACGACGCGACGCAGCTGGTCCCTCCGTCCGACAGAAGGCCTCCGCGTCACGCCCCGTGCCAGCACGGCCCCGCGCGACGAGCTCGCGGCGCGGCGGTGCCCAACGCCGCCGGGCCATTCGGTCGAGTAGTCCCAGCCTCTCGCGGCTGGCGGGTGCTTTGGACCGCCATTACCGACGCCGCCTTCGTCGCCAACGCCGCGTCGCCTTCGCCAGTCGCCGCCTTCGTCAGTCGCCGCCTTCGCCAGTCGCCGTCTTCGCCGCCGCCGTCGGCGACGCCGTCGCCGCCAGTCGCCGAGAGACGACGTCGTCTAGGCTCGCGAGATGCGGCGCCAGGGGGAAACGAGGTTGGCAGAGCATTCCCTCGGATCAGGCAGTTGCAGGCCCAGTCCTGCGGGGTCGGGGTCTCGGGGCATTGGGCAACTCCAAGGTATTGAGCCGACGGAGTTCAACCTCTCGAGGATGGGAAGAGGGGGGGGGTCGGTGATGCCACCCACATGGGGCGGATGAATTTCAAGACCCTGTGCCCCCACTCCTCCTCGAGAAAGACTCGGTCAGAAAGGAAGGAGGTGTGGCCTTGAAGGGAGCAGGGGGGCGGAGGGAGAGAAGGAGGGCGTTGGGGGAGGAAATCGATAAAGAAACAACGACCCAAACAAGGAGAGGGACATGACCGTCGGGGGTCATCAACAGAGTTCCGGAAAACTGATCGACCCGAAGGTGGAGAAGAGGAATGATATGATAATGATAAAAAAGAACGGATTCTGACGGGGTCAAAAGGGCCCCAAAAAAGCGCGGTCACGATGGCGACTGCGACCGTGAGAAAAAACACGATCACACATGGTATCACGTTGGAGCGTTGCCATGGCCCGCGCAACGTTCTCGCTGCCGCACGAGAGGCACTACGTTCCTCCCCACAATTGCGGATAAGATTGAGGGGGCGGTGGTCGTCGGAAATTTGCCAGTTTGAAAAGCCCGGCCGCTGGCGTTGATGTTCAAAGCCCGCCGCAAGAACAGATGTTTCAAGATGTTTCAAAACACTGTTTGTGGAATGCGCATGGGTCGTCTGCGGGTCGCCGGGCAAATCGCGCGGCGGTTCGCGGGTGGAAAGCGGGTGGGTCGCGGGTGGGTCGCAAGGTGGGTCGCTAGGGGTCGCGGGACAGGTCTCAGGGTGGTCGCGAGGCGGGCCGACAACAAAGTTTCGAAGAAGACCGAAACCATGCACCGCAGAACACACAGCCACGCACCAAGAGACGATGTAAGACCGCTCTGCCCCCTTAAATCTCACAACATGAATTAACAAGCACATGTGAATCCTGGATACTAACGCCGCATAGATCGATAAATCTTGCATCTTGTATGATTTCATAAGACAGGCCGAACGGTCCGAATCCTGCTCGAACTCATGACTGCGATCGGGGGGTGCCTCCGGCCAGGAGGTCGAGGTGAATCCGGTAGTGGCGACGACAACCCAACCTGAGGATCAAGAGGGGGCAGGAATCATGGAAAATAACAATACTACCGATTACCCCCTACTTCCCTTCCTCCTCCTTTTCCTCCGCATGCTGTCGGGCGCTCGCGGGCATCAAGTCCTCCTCCTCCTCCTCCTCCTCCTCCTTCTCCTCCTCCTCCTCCTCCCTCCTCAACCTCTCCTATAATAGCTCCGCGCACGTCAAGGGGCCTGGGCGCACCCTTGCTTCACAAGAGGCAGTCCGCTTCCAAATTCTTGTCTTTCTCGTCGTCAGCCTCTCCTCCTCCTCCTCCTCCTCCTCCTCTTCTCCTCCTCCTCCTCCTCCTCTCCTCCTCCTCCTCCTCCTGGTAGTTCTCCTCCTCCGCCTCCTCCTCCTCCTGGGCCGTTTCTTCGATGACCCCGAAATCTGAAACTTGCCTCTTCCTGTCTACCAAGGGAGCTGGCTGTCTGGGCCCTCACGCTCGTCCTCCTCCTCTCCCAATCCTTTTTCTTATGACTAACTCGTCCCTGTCGCACCCCGAGGCCAATCGCAAGGGCGGGCCTGGCGTTTCGCCTGAAACATCTGCACAATTTATGATCCTGAAACTTAGAATTCGCAACCGTTGCAAGGATTGAAGGCAGGTCGTTTTCAAAATGTGGCTCTCGTCTCAGCGCCGCGCACATCCGTCTCAACAATTTGCACAAGCCTCACGAATTGAGGACATGGCTCGCGCCTTAGCGACGCGCGCAGTCGATTTCAATGTCATCGATGGGAGGCCTGGGAGGCGGGCCGTTATCAAAATTTGCTCTCCCCTCAAAGTCGCGCAAACTCGACACAAAACATGCAAGAATTTGGCGATGGAGACCGGTTCCGTTTCAAACTGTAGCTCTCGCCCTAGCGCCGCGCACACTTACAACTGGCTCAAGGATCATCACGGTCAAGTTACCAGAAATGAAGTTTCGAAATCGTGTCGGGCAGTCAGGGCGCATCAATTACGTTGATTCGTGGTCTTGAGGTTCCCCAAATGGCGTTCTGGCACGATTCAGGAACGTCAAGCCGCAACAGTAAGGGTGATTCGCGGCGCTGCAATTCCAGGAATGGTGATCTGACGCCGTTCAGTTGTTTCCAACGGTTGCTTTCCAACGGGTCGTTTCCATCTGTGAAAATGAATCCTTGTAGGGGCCAGTGAAGAGGGAGCTTGGAGGGAAGGTTGATTGCAACATAATTGATGAGTCTTGGGTTTGCACTCGTCCTACTCCTCCTCCTTCCTGCTCCCCTCCCAGCTATGACATTAGAATAATAAGGATGGGGTATGATAGGGATGATGAGAAGTCGTTCCTCACTCTCTGCTGCTGTTCTCTCCCGCTCGTGCTCAATGTTTCCTCCCACCCACAACAATTTGGCTCATAAGATCGGCGGGAGAATGGACGCACCTACTCACGGTTAGCCTGAGTACGGAAAGAGATAGTCACCATAGTCTTCAGGCTTCTTTTGCATCAAGAGTTGTGGGTTTGACGTTTGCGACTATTAGTTGAGCTGGCAGCGCGAGCAATTTCGGTCTCGCGTCTGCGAGAATGTTCGTATAGAGTGGCCGTGCAGACCTGCATGCTGGCGCTCAACATACTCGCGTTTGTGAAATACCAGTGCGCACTACAGGTCATCAGCGGCATCACCATCAGCTTGGACGGGAGCAGCGATATCAATAGCTACAGCCAAGGCGACGACAACATCAGCTGCATCGAATGCAGCGGAAGCTGCAGAAGGTTCGAGAAGATGACGACGTTCAAACAACACCTTCAGGACGGAACCCCCTTCGTGGACAAGGGTGCGTAACTCACTACAGCGGCGACCCAGAATACGGAGAGGGGTTTGAGGAGAGAGCCATAATGGGCTACCAGGGGGGCGAGGAGAAAATTTAGAAGCTGTATGCCATCCAACTCAACTTACTCTGTGCACGAGCGTGGAATATTACACGGAAGACGGCCGAGATCACTACTCAAGCAATTCTGGAGAAAGGAGATGGTAACCCACTTGCTGCAAAACAATTGGTGGCGGCGACGATCCGGACAGCCTGTGAGAGAATCGAACCACTACAGAAGCAGCAAGCATTCGACGAGGTGTTTCTTCAATAGCTCCAAACATAGATCGGAGGCAATTCAAGATTACATCTCAAGGCGAGAAACGGGGTGCGAGAGGTTGAGATCGCTACTGGCAAATACTACAGTGATCGCGAATCTGCGAACCTACTGTCTGTTCGAGTTGGCGAATATCAGCGTGGCCCAGCGTAAAACCATTCTCTGATGGTCCAAAAAACAAAACATATATGGGGCGACGTGTCGGCGGCAATGCAAATTCAGCTAGACAGTGCTGGTCGAGAAGATCGTGGACATGGCCGATACGGATCATACGCAGCAGATTATAAGGACGAAGAAGATGCTCTACTGGGAGATCAACGAAGACCTTTCGACGACGGGGACATCTCTGGCAACTCGGACTACGAGGCCCTGGCTGCAGACATCGACGAGTTCGAGGGAGTCATCGACGACGTGGGCGCCGAGGAGATCAGCCAGGAGGAGCGCGATATCTTGGCAGCAAAGGCTCAACGACTGGGGTGGAAGGCTGGGCGCCGAAACCACAAGCCCAAGCACGAGTAAACCGGGGAGCGGCTAGCTCAGAACAAGTCGAATCGTCGCTGGAAGGCCGACATCAACAAGACGGACGCCATCAAGATGGATAGCGAGGAGGCCGAAGACAAGCTCAAGAAGATCAAGGCGCGCACAAACTGCAAGGCGCGCGACAAGAAGGGCCACTGGAAGGGTGACCCAGAGTGCGAGAAAACGAAGCCATCAAGCAGCAGCTCGAGTCACCTCCCGCGGGGTGGGAGCGGTGGACGTGGAGGCTTTCAAGGACGACCTGGGTTTTTTTCGGAGTCGAGCTGGCTTTGCGACGGCAACGGCGCTCAAGCTGCTCAAGGGCGGACAACTCTATGGAGCTGGCGGCCATCCAAATGGCCAAAGATCAGCTGGCCACCGTGGACGCGACCATGGGGGATATCAATGGCCTGACGAAGATGGAGATCAAGAGGGGCACGGCGATCAAGAAGCCCTGGGCACTCGACGCCAAGGATCACCAACAGTACCTAGTACAGGTTGGCTTACCAATCGGGCCTGACGGGCCAGAGGGAGATCCGACACCAAACTCAAGCAACAGAACGTGGGCAGGCAGACCAAGCACGGACTATCCAGAAAACACCACCACAGAGGCAGACCTTCAGAGGATCAAAGAGAGGGCGAAGCAGATCTCAGCCTCGTGGGTCAGCTGCGGGGACATGGATCAGGCGCACAAGGATTTCATGGAGTGGTGCGTGGACTGGGCAAGGCACCGACTGGACCATCTGGCGCGCATCACGATGGAGATGACACCTACTGGGCTGCGAAACTTGGGATGCATTACGAAGACTTCGAGAGATCGTGAGGAATGCATGCGAACGACTACCTCGTGGAGTCCGACCTACCTGGTTGTTGACGGGGCGGCGAGCAATGACAAACTACAACCCGCGATGACGCCCCATCGCCGAGACAGGAAGACATCTACGAGGAATTCCAGGTTGTTCAACCCTACGCTGTGCGTAAAGAACCCGTACCTGACGGACGCGCTGTACTGGACACCGCATGCACACGAGGATTTGGAGTCTCAATAGCTCTGGACAACCATACCGAAGACGGCAGAGTAACCGCTCGGATGAGAGGACCATCCATGAGGTTCAGAGGCGCGAGCGACAGCGCCCCCAGCACGGCAGAAAGTGAACAGGAGGTGACAGCCAAGATAACTGGCGCGGCTGTGAACCTACGGCCCCAAAGGCTACCGAAATCTACGACGCCAATCTTGCTGAGCACAACCCAGGTGTACGATCTGGACACGGCGCTGTATATCATGGGCAGGGCGGCGAATTTAAGGGCGATCGACACATACCAGGTACCCCTCGACATGGCCGAGAAGGGCCACCTGAGTATCTCACTGAAAGGCTGGCCAGAGAATGAAGCGACCAAGCCAGTACTAGCAGTAACAACAGAGGAGATTGACATCTGGAATGCCGATATCCTTCGACGCAAACAGCGGAGACAAATCGAGACTTGGGAAAGAGGGATCCAGGAGAAGCTGGATCACTGTCAACAGATCGAAGGCGCCCTGAGGGCGGACCCGGAAGAGAAGCGGCCCTTCATCTGCGAGGGCTATGCAAGTGGTGTGGCCAAAACTTCGGAAACTCAGATGAGAAGACAGCCGGTGTCCAGACCAAGGGGCATCATGATCGGGGACAACATGCTGGCCATCAATAAGCAAAACGAGGTTCTGAATCAGCTTAACGAGGAGGGCCCCTACATGACAGCTGTTGGTTTCCCATGCGGCCCGTTCACGAAGGTGTCCCGCATGTTCCCGAAATCGGCCCAGATTACGAAACTGGCGATTGATATGAAGCACCTGCAGCTCGCGAAGAATGTCTGGATCAACTGCAAGCGTCGAGAAACACATATGCTGCTGGAGAACCCCGTTGCGTCCAAGGCGTGAAAGCCCATGCCGTGGCTCGGAGCTGGGTTCGTGGAGGCGACGATGCACCAGTGCGCCACAAGCAACAAACCGGTGGACTTCTGATCGTTTTCCAAACTTAATTGATCGCGTCTCGGGGTGGTGTGGTAGGGGTGGGCCGTGTAAGATAGCAATGCAGGTCCTATTCCTCCTCCTGCCCTGCCGGTCTTTCGTGTCTGCTCAAGCTTTTTCTGGCTCGAGGTCTCTCGAGCCAGGAGCTCGCGCTCGCCGCTCCGCCCTACCAACTGGGGCGCTCGCGGCGCGGGCGCTGATCGTCTGCACCACGGCGGGGCGGTGGTGGTTCGCCAACGCTGCCTTGCTCTCGTACATCAGGGACTGGGGGGTCCTCGACGCGCCCCTCTCGAGGCCGCTGGTGGAGCCCGAGGACGACGCGTCCAAGAAGGACACGAGAGAGTCGGAGCGGCTGAGCCTCGACGACTATCGGCGGGTTCGCATGTCTAGCGTGACACGATGGAACCGCTTCTATCGGACGATGGCCCCGTGACGGGGGCAGATGCGGATGTACCGGAAGAAGAAGAACGACACAAGTTGGATCTACGTGAAGCTGGACCACGCCCTCTTGGTGGGCGGCATCAAGGATCGGGCGAAGCGGTCGAGTCGTCGGCGGCCTTGCTGGGACTACGTATCCTTCCCTGCCCCCGCGGCCAGCGAGAGGACGGGCGTCCTGGAGAAGGCCCTGGAGAGGCCGCTCGAGGCCAAGCTGTATCTGTCCAACGCTCACGGCTATGGGACCTCCTTGTCCTGGTTTCGCTCTGGGCTAGCTGGCGCGTGGAGCACATGGAGCTGGGGGTCGACGGTGGGTTTCGCCATCTTCTCCGGGGGAGTGGCCGTCTCTGGCAACCTGTGGCGGTGGATGCGAGGGGTGGTGGAGGAGCTCGAGGATGGCCACCGCTCGCTCCTCGTAGCCGACGACGGCCGAGGGGGCTGTCGCGACCTCTACCTAGGCGGCAGGCTCGAGACTTCCATCATGATCTTCACCGCTTTTGTGGCCCCCGGGCCAAGTCTCTGGAGTTGCTGCCAGCAGATGCCATCGCCACGGCTAGCGGGGGAAACGCCTCCAGGGATCGCCATGGACAGCGACGGGGAGGCGGGCCCCTCCAGGGCGGGTTCGTCGGACGAGTCGGTGCCAGCCAAGGGCATGCAGGAGATGCCAGCCACGAGGAGCAGCCTGTTCGACGAGATCATCCGTCCACGGTCGGAGTCGCGTCGTGCCCGCACGAGTCAGAGCACCTCGTCGGCAGCGTCCCCTGGAGAGAGCAGTCACGCCAGCGGGAAACGATTACCCCGTGGCGCGACCGAGCCCCGCCTGGACCGCCATGGAGACAGGATGATCGACTGGTTGAAGCGTTTCGAGGACACGAGCAATGCGGACAAGGCCTCGCAGGGACGCCAGCCCCCGCAGGCCGCGTCGCCCACGGCGGCCACGTCGGGTTCTGCGACGTGTCCTTCCATCGACCTGGGAACGACGGATATGCTGGCGGGCGCGGGGAGAAGCCCCGAGCCGTTGATGAAGGTACGCTGGGGCCCCAGGGAGCGGGCGCTGGCCGACCTCGGGAAGATCGATGCGCTGCCCGCCGTCACCCGCCTCGCGGGCCTCACCTCTCACGTGGCGCCAGAGTTGCTGGTCAAGACCTACGGGGCGGACGCCAGCTTGGGCAAGTTCGCGACGGACTGGGTTCGCCCCAGTTGGCCGAGTCGCGACCACCTCGGCCACCAGAGGATGCTGCACTGCATGAAGCTGGATCGGAGGTCGGAGGCCTCGCCCGAGCTCACCCAGACGGCGAGGTACGAGACCCTGGGCGCCCGAGTCTACGCGCCGAAGCGGGCGTTCGAGGACGTGGCAGGCATCGTCGACGGGAAGCAGCCTCGGGACAGCGGGGCCGACAAGTGGAAGTCTAGGGTGTGCTGGGACCTCACGGACAAGCTGGACGGGAGGCCTCTCACGGAGGGCGAGGAGGCGCTCACGGGAAAGGAGCGCTACTTGACGGCCAGGCTGCAGCAGAGGGTTCTTCAACATGCGTATCCGCAGATGGAGGGCTCGGACGCGGCAACGGAGGAGGACGAGCAGACGGGGGGATGGTCTCCCCCGTCCGTGGAGCCCTGCGGGCCCCCCCGCACTTGAGGGAGAGGCTGGCGGTTTACCGTTCCGTCCGCTCTGACGGCGGCCACTCTTGTGGGCTCACTCTCCCGATAGCTGTGGTGGTGCTCTCGCTGGTCGCGACGATATTTTCGCGTGGCACCGCATCCCTCGGGAGGCGACGACATGCCCGTTTTTATCCATCCACACGTTTCTCCATCGTCTACCTCGACAGCAGCCGCGGGCGTTCCTCCCGAGGCCGTTCCTCGAGACCGAGACCCTCTGCCGGGCTGGCCGCTGCTGCCCTGGTCGGTGGTGGCGGACCGCGCGGGGCCGATGCATCAAGGCACACTACGTCGTGTGTGAGCTCGCGCCGACGGGCTGCTCCGATCCATGCACCACCCATTTCGGGGCAGGGCCGGAGCGGCCGAGGGCGTTGGGCCGTCGGCCGCGTGGGAGCGGGCGACACCGCTCCAGAGGGCTACTTCGAGGAGGTTCCTGGAGGCGTGGCTAGCTTGGGGCAGCCAGGTGGCCGCGATCAAGGTGGACGAGGACGCTGCCCTTTGGCGCGTCACGGCCGATCGGGCCTCGCCGTGCTCAGGCGAAGGGGCTTTCGCTGCCCTGGGAAAGGATTCAAAGGGATGAGAGATGCTACCGAAGGGCGTGGTGGTCTCCGTCGACGCGGGGGAGTATGCTCGCCCGCCACCAGAGACCAACCCTGCCAGGACCGTGGACATCTGCCCGCTGGCCACCGAGGACCTCTCCGACGGTGCGGGAAGGATGACACGCAAGCCCAACCCCGCCATGGAAGGGGAGCTGAAGGGCCAAAAGGTCTACCGAGATCCGTCTTTCCGATCGAGGACATTTCTTCCCATCCTGGCCGAGAAGCCCTGGGAGGCAGGGATGCTGGGGACCACCGACGAGCTGGTCGAGGGCGTCCCGCTCTTCGTGGTCAGCCAAGAGTGCTAGCGGCAGGAGGCGGACCCCCTCGGCCCCGTCAGGCGCCAGATCCGCGCCATCTGGGACTGGAGGCGGGCCAACCTCCGCTGGCAGACGCCCCTGCACGGGCCCCTGGGCAGCTCCGCGACCCTGACCAACCTGGACCTCTCCAATCTCGGCGAGACGGACGTGGTCTACACAGGGGTGGGCGATATCCCCGACAGGTTCGACCGCTTCGAGACGCCGCCCGACGTCTGGCTCTACTTTGTCTTGGAGGGGCTGCCCCTCCACGAGTTCTTCGACTACATGAGGACCACAGGGCAGGGCTACGCCATCCCCTATGGCGGGCCCCTCCTGGCGGTGAAGGTCTTGGTCATGGGCCGGCCGTGGCTCCTGCCTCTGGCCCACTCCAGGCCGAAGGCTCTCACGGCGCGCAGGCTCTGGGCGGACTCCGGGGGTGCGCGCCTGGTCTACGGGGCTCCGACGCACAAATTGATCGGGCCCGTCGAGTTCGAGTCAGGGAGCTGGGCGTACATGGACGACTACGTGGTCGTGGCCACGTGCGCCAGCGGGCGGCAGCCAGTGAGCGAGGTCATGGGGAGGCTGACGGCCCGAGTCAAGTACTACTTGGGGAAGGTCGGGCTCCCCGTCCACCAGGAGAGAGAAGGCGAGGGGATCGAGTCGTGGGGTGCGGGCGGCCGTCTCTCAGCGCATGGGCCTCGCCATCTGCGACCGGGCCTACCGCGAGGTGAGGCGCCCAGAGACCGCCAAGACGCCGTTCCGCCTCACAGACGCGGCGAGGTGGGGGCTGACGACGATGGCCTACTGCGCCACGCTCAGGCACACGGATCTCGAGGCGCCCTGGCTCTCGCAGGTGTCTGTGATGGGTATGACGGGCTCCAGGGACAAGGGCCACGGGGTTGCAGTCACCGAGGCCTCGCTGGAGGAGATCAGGACGGACACGGGCTACACCGAGATGAGAGGGTGGACGATCGCCACCGACGCCTGGGTCCCCCACGTTGGGGGGTGTACCTACGACGTGGACGAGCTCGCCGATGCGTCGGCTACACCTCCGCCGCGGGTCAGTCGGAGGGCCCACCAGGCGCTCTACCTCTTCGCGGGCAAGCGCCGAGAGGGGGACCTGAAGGAGGCCATCTACGCGCGTGCGGAGTGCGACGGTTACGAGATCAAGGTCTGGTCCATCGACTCGGTGATCGAGCCGAAGTACGACCGCCCCAACGACGAGCTGGTCAGCGTGATTCTGGGCCAGACGCACGACGGGCACTTCCACGCAGTGATTGCCCCGCCGCCATGTTCCGCCTGGAGTCGAGCGTGCTTCCTGAAAGAGAGGCCCAGGCCCCCGCGGACGCGCCTCGAGCCTTGGGGGCGGAGCGACATACTACTCACCACCTTCGAGCACCTCCGTCTGGACCTTGGGTCGCGCCTCCTGCTCACGGCCATGCAGGCGGTCCGCGAGGTCTGCCGAACCGGTGGCCTGTGCCTGACGGATCACCCCGCGGACCCAGAGGAGGACCTGTACACGTCTATCAGGAACCCCCCCGAGATGGCCTGCCTCTGCGAGGAGACGGGCGGCCAGATCCATCAGATCGACCAGGGCCGCTACGGAGCTTCGCCGATGGACTCGACCATGAAGGGCATCTTCGGGGTCTACGACGACGCACTGGACCTCGCCGTGGGCCGTCTCCGCCCGAGAGGCAACCACCGAGGGAGGCATCCAGCGATACTCGAGGGGCGAGTGGAGCGGGGCCGCCCCGACATCTGCACCGCCTCCGCCCAGGCTTGCCAGCCCCTGCGGTGCGCCGCGCGAGGGAGGGCGATCCTCGAGGCGTTGGCCCGCATGACGAAGGAGATGAAGGGCCCCGATCCAGCGTGCTCGTGGGCCTCTCCAGCTACGACGCCATTCGGGCCGCCGAGGCCGGGAGGGGTGGAGATCGAGGTCCCCCCCGCTGTCCCTTGCTTGGATGCCACCTGCGAGATGGCGGCCACTCTACGTCGGAAGGTTGAGGAGCACGGAGCACACGAACACCAACGAGATGCGGACCGTGGTGGGCGTGCTCCGACACCTTGCCAGATCGCCACGGAGGCGGATGCTGAAGGTCCTGAGCTTCACCAACGGCATGGTGGCCCAGGGAGCCCCAGGCGAGGGCCATTCGAGCTCATCAGCCCTGTTGCGCCTGGGCCACGGGCACTACCGCCACGTCCCGCTGGAGCTGAACGTCGCCGAAAGCCTCTCTCCAAGATGTCTCTTGGGAGCGGCGCCCGAGACGGTGGCAGCCCACTGCGACCGACACCCCGCTCCGACGGACAGCCGACCTCACGGTCTACGCGACCTGGGCCACATGGGTACGGGATACGCTGGTGGCTAGCTGCCCTGGCGTTGGAAGCAATCCACCCCGTCGGAGCGATTCGCCAGAAGCCGAACACGGCAGGAGACGTTCCCCTGCAGAGGCGGGGGCCGCGGGCGTGGGACAACTACGAGAAGGAGACGTACCTGGGCATCCGCGAGGGCGGCTCCACAAGGCGATCCACCCACTCCGTGGCGGACGCGATCACGGCACAGTGGGCCCCGAAGGTGCGGGACATTCTCAGCTACCGCGTCGACAAAGGTTGGGAGCTTCGGTGCAAGAGCGCCATGGGCCACGCCCTGGCCGACTACAGGGACATGAAGTGCTACCGAGACCGACTCCACCCCACATGGGGGTCGATCGTCCTGTCAGGGCGGCTGGGGAGTTGGCCTGAGCTGAGGAGCCAGCTCCCCTTGGCCTTGCGAAGCTTGAAGAGTTGTCAGAGGTTGGTCGTCCCTGCGGAGGCCCGTGGCCGGAGGAGGCCGTCTTCGCCGTCGCCGCTGACTTTCTGGAGGGGGGGCTCCTGGACGAAGCCATCGGGACCCTCATGCAGTACGACGTCTACGGGCAGGAGCGGGGTATGGCAAGGCCGCACGAGGCCGACATCAGTTGGGACGGCCTGGATGCCGAGACTCCCCGAGCTGGGGGGGGCCCGCACCAACTACAGCAAGCAGCAGAGGCAGCTGGTCGACAGCAACAAGACGAACTTGAAGATGAAGAAGGTGAACTGGATGGTGGAGAGAGTGAAGCGACAGGCCAAGCGGGGGCGCCCGAGTGGGCGGCTAGGGGCGCCATACGAGGGCTCCCTAGAGGTGTGTGGCCTACGGGCGCGACCACCACCCCGAGGTGCTCTTGGCCGATCGCATGATGAGAACGTTGTGGTCCCCGCCCGCCCACCCTGGACTACAACCTGAAGTATTTCGGCTACGCCAGGCACATCAGATGCGGGAGTGGGAATGAGTATCTTCTGATGCCGATCGCAACTCGAGTTTTTGATGATTGTTGTGATTTGGTTGAGGTTATACACATCTCAATCGGCCTCCCGATGAATTACATTATATCTTTGGCCCGTCGGGGCCCTCGTGCAGCGTGTGGTTGAAAACGTACTTCCTATAGGCCGCTTCGCGGCGTTGCTGCACGTCCCGCTGACTGAGACCGTTTTGTCATAGTCAGCTTTGCTGGCCCCCCGCCTGCCCCCTGAGAAGACGTTGCGATAATGATCGTTTTCCAAACTTAATTGATCGCGTCTCGGGGTGGTGTGGTAGGGGTGGGCCGTGTAAGATAGCAGTGCAGGTCCTATTCCTCCTCCTGCCCTGCCGGTCTTTCGTGTCCGCTCAAGCTTTCCCCCCCTTTGAACGCTTTACCCAGCCCTGCTCTCACGACACGTGGGAATGAGAATATTATGATGCCGATCGCAACTCGAGTTTTTGATGATTGTTGTGATTTGGTTGAGGTTATACACATCTCAATCGGCCTCCCGATGAATTACATTATATCTTTGGCCCGTCGGGGCCCTCGTGCAGCGTGTGGTTGAAAACGTACTTCCTATAGGCCGCTTCGCGGCGTTGCTGCACGTCCCGCTGACTGAGACCGTTTTGTCATAGTCCGCCTGCCCCCTGAGACGTTGCGATAAAGCAACAAACTGGTGGACTTCATGGGCGATCCAGTGAAGAAGCCGACCCGGCTCCCGACGACGGCCATCATGCTGGGCAAGAAACTCATCGAGGTGAAGTGTAACGGCGAGCACATCCACGCTGGCGTGATCATCGGGCCGAAGGAAGCGGCATCAAGCATTGGCAACTGGACGGCCGAGCTAGCCAAGAAGATCGCGGACGGCATTGAGGACTAGAAGCGCCTCGAGAAGCAGCACGGCGGCAATGCCAGGCACGCAAACAACTTTGAGGAGATCGAGGTTCACCCAGCAGATGCCGAGGCGCCTATGCATGCGAGGGCGGCGGCAATCTCCAGCAAACACGGCGAGAACATCGAGAAGGCGGATTTAGCAGCAGTGCCATCGCTACTGCGTGCTGTCATTAAGAAGGTACACGAGGGCAGGTCCCATGGACCCTGCAAGGCGTCCTTGGCTCGGTACCTACATCGTGGATGAGCGAGCCGACGAGCAGCTCAAGCAGCGCTAATGTTCATATGCACGGCGCGAAAAGAGAAGGCTCGCACAGCAGGGCGACCAACGAAGCCATCAGTATGGACTACATGACCATACCTGACCTCGACAAGAGCATGCACGTGGTGCTAGTGATCGTAGACGTTGCATCGGGCTTCGGGCTTCACAGTGGCGATACACGTGCGCCCTGGATTGAGGCCGACGGCTGAGTGGACGAAGAAACCCTTCGAGCTCGGATGGCTTGCCTGGGCTGGACCACCGAGGATCGTCGAGCAGGACCAGGGCTCTACCTGCATGGGCGAGATCGAGGTGCCGCACAGTGACCTGGGGCTAGCTATCGAAAATGCAGCTCCCGAGGTTCCGAGGTCCACTGGCCCATGGGCAAGGTCGAGCGGGAGGTGCGATACCTGAAGGAGATGGCGACGAGTGTCTTCAATGCTGGGGAGCGTCGTCGGGACTGCTTTGCAGCAGCGGCACGCGGCATGGCGAATGACTGCGACCAGCGGGTGAGAACAGCAAGCTTCTCAGAACAGCAGTGGGTGCTGGGAGCTGGACGTCGACTACCAGCGGGGCTGGCTAACCCACACAAAAACCCACTAGTGGGGTCAAGGGTGGTGGAGAATACGTCGTTTTGGAACCGGCTACACCTACAGCAGATGTGTTAAGAGGCGTTCTTCAAGGCAACGAAATTATCAATACTGCGACGTACAATACTGGCAGGGACAAGGCCGCTGCAAGGGCCACTGGAGATCGGACAACCTTGAGAGGAACGTGCATGCAAGATGGCACGGACCTGCCCAGTGCCTGGGCAATGACGACTACGGATACTGGCTTATCCAAAATCGAAATCTGATTCAGATCTGGAGCTATCCGAGCCTACTTCGCAAAGCGACGGAGAACGAGGTGAAGGCGATTCAGTTTGCTGACGTATTATCAGACGGTGGACCAACACGTAGACGAGCAGGTCGGCGAGGTTTTATCGACCTACAACAATCAGATCAACAACATGATCTGCAACGAGATCAGTGAGCTTCAGTACGGAACCAACTGACCAACGACACCACCCAGAACAACAACCAGATGGATATGTTCCACGGCAAGCACAGCCATCCGAAGAACAACAGGAAGCTGAAGCACCAGCAGCAACACCAACTCAATGTGGCGTGATCAAGACAGAGCAGGCGGCGGCGGACATGGACAAAAGCAGGAAACGGAGATCGGAGGTGGTGCACGACAACGACGCCATGCCGATGCGGTAGAGGCTAGAGAACGATTACGAGACAGAGCCGGCTGATCAATATCAAGCAGGGAAAAAGAATTCGAGTGCGATTGCGGCGAGCTCATCGGGCTTGGGACGCGATTCTTGGAGCAGAAGCGGCGAGCAGTCATACATCCCCTGGGCAAAAACGTTTTCCTCTTGGGCCCGGAACGACGGTTTGATATCTTGAGCAGACGCGTATGAGTCGGACCAAGTAAGTTCGCGTGGATCCAATGTTGGTTTTGGTTCGTGATTCGGTGGGTCAGATGTCTGTCCGCGCGATTCCGATTGCGGATTTTCTGGACCCGCCCCTGGGATCCGATTTTTACATTTTGCAGCTTATGTATAATCCCTCCAGCCCTCTGGGCGTAAGTGGTGTAACGATATCTTTCGTCCCTTCGTCCAAAAGCCCCTCTTCCCCTTCCGGCCAGCGGCCAACCCGGAACCATGCCGACCCCATGCGGGCCACCCCCCCCACCACTCGTCAAAAAATATTACAAAACGCACTCTGCCTCCACATTTGGAGCATGCGCGGCCACTCCGATGCGCCCCCCCAACCATTCCTGTCAAAAACCATACAAAATACACTTTGGGGCAAAGTCTTGAATCATGTTCGTGAGGCCCGCGAACACACTGTATTGTTTTTGACAGGGACGGCGGGGGTGCCAGCATATTCACTGCTGTGCGCAGGGCCCCCACGCCTTACAACAGCAAAAACAAAAAATGCAAAATGCACCTCGCGGCTAAATCTGGACCATGCGCGGCCGCTCCGCGATCACTGTCAAGTGGTGTTTGACACGGACGGCGGGGGTGGTGGCGCGTGGCCTGCTGTGCGCAGGCCCACCAAACACAATGATGAGCATTTGTCTTCATCAAGGATGGTGGGGGCCGACATGTTTCCCGATGTACTGTCACGTGCGCAGGCGCACCTGACGCACTCTGCACGTGCCCCGAACGTAGCGCACCTGGCGCGGCTGGAGTGTGCGGCACACGTGGCGCACTCGGAGCAAGTGGCGCATCCGGCGCACCAGGCGCGCCTGGCACGCTCGGGCCCCAGGGGTGCCTGGCGCGCGTGGCGCCCCTGGCACGCGTGGGGCACCTCGCCCAAGCGTCGCGTACCTGGGGCCGGCTTTGGTTCCCAGTAGCTGTCCGTCCAAAGACGACCGCTGAACATGCTCAGGCTCGGGTG